GTTTTTCTCAAAGTACTGTAAACATCTCCTGCTCATGGACCATGAACCCAAATAACATTTAAGCAAGATGAATAGAGGTATAGAAAAAATAGAGAGCTAATAGCAAACTATATTAACCATTGTGCAGTTTCTCAAGGGCCAGCTGATGACCACAAGTTTGACATTTAATTAACTAAATCTTGCTTGTACCCCCGCTGATATAGAGATTTTGATTAAGTTACCTTCTGTTCTGCTTAGGTGTGGGTAAATAAGGGGACAATTGTAATTTTTAAAATGTATTCATGATGTTCAATGAAATGAATCAGCTTAGGAAAAATATACTTTGTTTAGTAAAAAATAACCTTTATTTCTATAGAAATTGCTAAGGCAACCTAAAATGTAAATATGTTCCGCCCAATGCCTCCTAGCCATTGCTTAAAGATATAAAAATAAATCAGACCCTGAGACTTCTCAGAGGGAACCTGCACATTGCTTGCTAAGGTTCTTTTCTCACTCGCCAGCCCGAGACCTCTCCCCTTCCTACCCTGCATCGACTGCAGCTGGTCTGCGGCAATATTGTACATAAGATACGTCCTATTACCGCATAGAATTAAAGTACATTAAAAACCAAGTCATTTGCAGGAAAATGGATGTACTTTTGTTACAGGATATAATACCAGAGATGAAATATGAAATATTATATCTCCCAACTGTTAACTGTATGATATGCCAAGTTCTCGTTCTCTGGAAATCAAAGAATGAGTCCTAAGGACAACAGAGGTTAAGAGTAGGAAGATATTTATTGATAGGAAAGCTCCTGGGGTTCAGGAAGGGACCCCAGTGGGTAGCCCGGGACCTCACTTTACAGAGGAGTTTTATAGGGTAAAACCTATGTGGGTACAATGTAGACCATAGCAATGATCATCCAATAAGGTTACAAATATAGTCACTTAGGTAATAGTGGTCCAATTGGGAAACAAGTCACATAACAAGTGTGGATGGAAAGTACAAAGATTCTCCTAGGAAGTGGTGGGTCCAGAGGTCTCTGGTCACCCACCAAGGTGATTGATGTCTATCTAGACTTCATTAGCCCAGTGTTTATTCATTGAGGAAGTATGTAGGTCTGGTCATCTTATTTTTATCTTAGGCCTGATTTTTCAGCTGATGTGTCTCCAGTTGCTGCTGTGGTATGCTTCACCTTTGTCCTGACCCTCTGGAGGACCTAGCCCTAGCTGACTGCCTACAATATTTTTACCTAGCTCATCTATCTATAATACTTTGAGACCATAATGTTAAGTGAAATAGATCAGACACACAAAGTTAAATATCATGTGATTTCTCTTATATGAGAAGCCCAAATTGTAAATAAAGAGGCAAAAAAGATAGCTAATAGAAAGTAGGGAGATAGATCTTTCTCAAAGGGGAAGGGGATCAAGAAATGGAAGGAGGTGGAGGGAGGGGAGGGAAAGGAAATGGAGAAAGAAATTGAGATGTTTGGGCACCAACTCCACACCAAGAATACATGTGAACATTATAATATGTGAACATTATATACTGCAAACATGGACTAATAAAAATTTTTTTTAAAAGGACTATTGTAGGGAACAGGGAAAGGGGACATTGCTAGAACTCCTGCAGAGAGTCCTAGTCTCCTTCAAGCCAAGACAGCACAAGGTAAATTAATTAATATATGGACAAAAATGAGATTTAGAGCCCAGGATTTAGCTCAGTTGTTCTGCCACCTGCCTCTCAAGCTCAAGGACCAGAGTTCGATTCCCGGTACCAGAAAAATAAATGAGACTTAAAGAAGAAGCTGAACTTTGGGCCTGATCATTGCTGCTCTAGGCAGCAAAGATGACAGCCCCCCCACCACTTGCCACACCTTTATTCAATACATTGTGAGTAACATATGACTCAAGTGCGGCAGTAATAATCCTAGAACAATGAGGAATTTATGCAGATGAAGATACTAGGTCCTGAGGAATTTATGTTACTTAGGAATTTGTCCCTCCCCAGGATGTCTTCAGCTGATATAATCCTGCCCTGGAGCATCACAGCATCATGGGACTATTGAGGCCTTAGCTGTGACCAGAGAACGGAGTTATGTCTGGACATGCCATAGCTGGCCTATAGACAGAAAAACTAAGCCTAATCATAATTTTAATTGTGAAATGATTTTTCCCTAAAATTATGTAGAATTGCTCCTGACAGGCTATAAAAATAAATAAAATAAGATATCTTTTAAAAATCCCTCTGTATTTTTTCTTTATCTGTGATTTTAGCCTCCATTCTATGTATATTTTGGATCATTCATCTAAATCTGCTTTATTTTTTGAATATTAGTATTTACCCTTGTAAACCAAGTATTTTACTATGTATATTGTCAAACAGAAATGTTTAGAGAATTTTATAATGAATATTCATATATATAATAGACTCTATACAATTTACTATGTTTATCTTATCACATATGATTTATCTGCTCATTTCCCTATCCATCAATTTATCTCCTCTTTGGTTACATAAAAAGCAGTCAGTACTATTACCTGGTAAGATATCTCACTATGTATGTGTGGATGTTTTTTAAAAATATGAAACAGTAAAATGTTGACATGGTTCCAAAACTAGATACAGAAAACTCTAGCTTTTATTTCTGTCCTCCTTTCTTTGCCTCTGCTATGTTCAGAAGTAAACACTACAAAATTTCATTTATTTTCTGATGGCTTTATTTTAATATAAGCAGATAGTCACACATTCTTCTATATGTCCTCTGTTTTTCCCAGCCCCATAATGGAGGAGCTCCTGATAAGAGCAGAAGTTAAAAGATGTTCAGCCATCAAACCCATGATGGCTTTTTGATTCTCTTATATGTATAATTGATGTTATTTATAAGTTATTTTAGGACTTATGCTCTCCCAAGTACATACACACTCACATGTGCATGAATACATGTACACACACATATAGACACAATTGTACAAACTGAAAAACACTATTAAGTAGTATCAATTACTAAGGAAACAGATTTTGGTCCCAGTATCTAGAGTTTTGGGAATGGTACAATATTAATGAAGAAATTTGGTGAAACAAAATGTAACTTCCAACTGAGTACTTTTATTACATTGGTGATGAATTCAACCAAGAGGATCTTTTTTCTTTTATTAGTGCATTAATATTTACAAAATATTGGGTTTTATGTGTATAATATTGTAAGACCGAGGGCCTTACCAAACGCTCCAAGGAGCTGACTATAGTGAAGCACACCCAGGGATCCCAGCGGTGCCTCCAGAATGCAAGGCCAAGGGCCTTACCAAATGCTCCAAGGAGCTGAAGTGGAGCACACCCGAGGATCCCAGTGGTGCCTTCAGAATGTAAGACCAAGGCCTTACCAAACGCTCCAAGGAGCTAGCTACAGCGAGGACCACCCGGGAAGGAACACACCGGCCATGTTGGAAAACAGACCTTTATTAGTCTGGCCAGACGGCACTCCCGAAGCGAAATAGCTCAGAGAGGCACCTGGCTCAGAGTCCGA